GATATGTCGTTACTAAATGGTAGGTAAACGCCTACACTTTTGGCTGCCTAGCCATTTTAAGTAAGAGTCTAATCCTGAATTAAGCTACTTGTTCCTTCCCAACTCTCAAGAATACAAATCTGCCAAAGTAGCTAAAAGCTAATGGTTTTGTCTAAGGAGACACATCCAGTGGGGGAACATGGTCTCAAGTGGATAATATCATCCAACTTTAAGGCCTGTTTGAGTGGACAGGGGAAAACGCTTCTCTGTCAACCCAAAACCCTTTTCCTTCTGTCCAGTTTGCATAGTTTTGCTTAAAATTCATCTCCTAAATTTCCCAACCAAAAGGGAAAGCGAAGTTTAGCAAGGGGTCTCAAGGAATCTTGGTGAAACAACTTCTGTCTCAAAAGCAGGATCTGGAAAAGGTAAGGCCGCTGGGGTGGAGGAAGAGCAAGGGAGAGCTTCTGGGACGAGCGTCTCCACGCCGTTTTACAGCTGTCTGCTGAAGCAGAAAAACCAGGGAAGAAAGCTGAAGCCGATCGCTGCCACAGATAGCCCCCTACGTCCCATCTCCCAGATGAATCGGTTTCCAGAACCCTGGGGCTGCCTAGCAATAGAGGGGGAACGAGGGAAAAGTGTATTCTGAAATGCAGTGCTACCCGCGGGCCTTTTTGGGAAGCGTCTAAGGAGAACATGGCGGCGAGGACAAAGCCTTGGAGACAGTGGGGGAAGGGCATGACAAAAGTACCTTCTTCCCTCCGCCCCCCTCACCCCGCGCAAGGATACGCGATTCGTAAACCGCCACCTCCCTTTGTGAGGCGTTGGCTCGCGGGCGGGTGCCGCCGGTTCTAACCGGCTCTAGCCGGTCCCAGCCGCCTCCGAGAGCGGTGGCGGTTGGCGCAGTATGTCACTGCGCGTGCGCGCCCCGCCCCCAAGGCCTGTTCGTGTCTGAGGGAATGGCGTGGGGGAAGGGCTTCATCAGGTCCCTGGCGCTCTGGGGGCTTCCGCGTCCCCCACTTTTCACTGCACTTTCTTTTTAGGATTCCTGTTCTTCCCTTTCTAATCGAAGATTTCCATTCCTTCCTCTCTCGTGTCTTTATTGTCTCTCCTGATTGTCTTCACGTCATAATTAAAATTTAGTACATGACCCCTTTTAGTCCCCAAATGCTGTTTCTTAATCATTCTTTAGGTATTTGTACGCCGCCTGGTCCTATGAAGTCCAGAATGTTCCAAATGAAAATGATCTCTGACAAACCTAGCAGTGAGATAAAATGGAGGGGTCCAGGACACTAGATTGAAAACCAGGAGTCGGGGACAAAGCAGTGGCATGCTGGCTCCTCGGTGCGTGCCTTCAGAGTACCTGGAAGGTGGCAGCAAACTATACAGGATAGTTTAGCAACATTATATAGGGTGGCACTAAATAATGACCAAAGAATTTTATAAAGTCGTTACTCTCTATTTTTAAAACCTCTTTGGCTCCTGGAAATGGCAGAGGGGCTGGTGGAGCGGAGAGTTTGAGCCTGGCCTGAGGGGCTCAAACAAATGAAGACCCAACCTAGGTCCTACCTCACTACCTCCCAAAGAGCCAGGTCACTTTAAGGAGCTTGGAAACATTGGCCCTGGCAAAGCTGTTGCTTTTTTTTTTCAAAGCCTTTAAAAGTGGAATATTACGGAGAGCAGAGACTTTCCTTTGATTTCTCCAAATCCAATCTTGATGTCTGTTCTGGGAGTGGAAAAAAAGTTAGAATTTTAGCCACCCAAGGAAGAAAACTTAGTTGGGTCACCTCATTTTACAAATGAGGGTTCAGAAGCCTTGGGGAATTTGAGACTCGCCTAAAATCTGACACAGCTAATTAGTACCAGAATTTATTCATAACAAATATTTGACCTCATGCAGACTTCCTTCCTCCTCATAAACTGCTATCTCATCCCTCTCGGTGCTCTGTCATCTATCTGCAGTTTGTTGTTGTTGAAGGCTGAGGGAGGGAGGATTTAGGGCTCTTTATAAAAGAGTCTCCCCCTCTGGAGCCCCTGAAGTGGGCAGTGGTGGGGGTTATGTGCTGTGGAGTCCGTTCCAATTTAAAGCAACCCTATACAGGGTGTCCTAGGCTGTAAATCTTCACATGAGCAGAAAGCCTTATCGTTTTCCTGCTGAACAGCTGGTAGTTTTGAACTGCTGACACTGAAGTGAGCAGCAGCAAGAGACTTAAAATAACTGCTGATAACACTAAATTTGTCATTTCCATTCCCTTTGCAGATTATAGCATTTTCCTTATACTGTTAGTTTTTTTCTTGTGCTATATATGGTGTGGCGCTGTAGAATAAGAACTGGACTGTGAATCACAAGGTCGGCTCTTCAAACCCATAAACGGCTCCTATGAGTTGGAATTGACTGGCAGGCACTTAACAACAACATATGTTATTTAACTGATTTTCTCTGTGTTTGGGGAAAAAAATACAGAGGTTTATATGACGTTTTGCTGTTTGTTAAGTGCCATCGAGTCGAATCTGTTCCGACCCATAGCGACCCTGTATAGAGTTGCCAAGGAGTGGTTGGGGAACTTGAACCACTGACCTTGTAGTTCAAAAGGTTTAGCAGTCTGGCGCATTAACCCACAGCGCCACACCTTGAAGCTTAGGACTGAGGAATCTCATACCAAAGACTACAGGGTCAGAGAGAAGATTCTGTTTTTCCCCAGTAAGTAAGTGAAAAATACTTGAGAAAATTATATAGAAAATTACATTCAGTATAGCTACTGAATCCATATTTTGTTGCCCATTTTTACTGTTTAGGCCCAAACATTTACTCCCTTCATCTCTCCTACCTTTTACATTACAAAACAGTCCCTAGTAGTCTCCAAAATATTCTGGATTCCTTCCACGTCTTTGTCCAGTCTCTTCTTTTCTGGAAGACTTCTATAAACAAGATAGTCTAAACTTACCATGTTCTTTGGTGAGGAGATTAATAATAAATATTTGACTATATGTCCTTCTTTTAACGAAGGATCCCTGTAATAAAACTGTTTTCTGAGTACACCTGCATGTCACCTTCTCTCTGTACTCAAGCTATGTTCTCTCTAACCTCACAGCTTTCGACAGAAGTTGCTGTTGGCCAAAGCTACTTCCATATCCTGTTTGTTTGTTATTTTTGCTCCTCTACCTCAATCTCAAACCCAGGACACAAATATGAGAGGGAAAATCCATTTTAGCTGGGCATCTCATGCTCCCCACTCCCAGCTCTCAAAACAGCCCAGGCTAAAAATAGGAGGAGGCTCTCCCGTTCTGGTTTCTGGCAATGACTAGACTGATAAACAACCATGTGACCTTGGGCACTGAGCCAAATAACTTCTTTGTGACAATTTCCTTATGCGTAAAATGAGAGGAATTAACGAAAGAAGTAGTGACACTAATCCTATTCTAAAATAGAAAACAAAAGAATGGGAAGACACTTTGGAAGGTTTTAGGCTTCCGGACAATGGCCTCAAGAGGTGGAGGCTGCAAAGGACTAACGTAGTACAATTTAGGTCAGGCTTCCAGGTAGGCTGTCCTTCAGGCCCTACCTAATCTTCTTTCCTGACTCATGCCAAAAACATCCAGAAAATGCCAGTATCTACTTCATCCTGTTCCCTTTTTAGCAAAGCCACTCAGGCTTAGTCAGGAGAGAAGCTTCTGAGACCCTTCATTTGAGGCCCTAGGGTCCAGAGACCAGTGTCAGTGAGGCTTTTACTGCATCTGAAATCAATCCAGGCCTCCGAGGTTTGAGTCTATCACTTAACAACAACAAATCTTATGATACCAAGAGACTGTTGCTAAAGCGTTCAGTTCCCTCATCTTTCCCAGCAGCCAGCTCCTGCGGCAGGAAAAAACCTACAGGGATGTCGCAGCTCAGAACTCCATTATACAGAAGATTGTTGTTTTCTAGGGGGCTGTGGACAGCTAAAAATGTACTGGGAAGAAAGTCTAAAATTAACCACTGAAACCCACCAGGTCTACCCATTACCAGCCACACAAGAGAGTTAAGGGCAGGTCCCTGAAAACGAGCTACGGAAACAAGAGTGGTTGTGTCATTCATTGTCCATCTGCTCTTCCCCAAAATGACGACGGCATTTTGGGGTAGCTCCGGCCTTTCCCTCATAGGTGTTGAAAATTGCTAGGGCAGATGAGTAAGGTAAACAGACTTCCTATCTACCTGGGAGAAGTCACCATCTTCAAATTTATCAGCCTCTAAAATTTAGCTCCTAGAAAGAAAACAAGAAACCTCTTTGATGGGGGAGAGACAGGGACAAGGTGTCTTAAAAGGGTGTCTTTTCCCTTCTCTACAGCCTGAATGCTTCACTTTCAGACTCACTGTTCCCTTCTCTAGTTTATCTATCCCATAATGTCCTTGGCCCTGGGCCCTGCAGCCTGTTGGTGGAACTTTCCAGAAGACCTGACTGTAGAAGTCCAATTGTAGCTTTGTGGGCTGTGGAAAGACAGATTGACAACAATGAGCAAAACCTGACTCTTTGAAACTGGGCTGATCACTCCCCAGGTTAGAAACTGCACAGCTCTTTCTTGATTTCATTTCAGGATTTCTGGACTATCCTTTCCCAGACTGTTTCCCACCACTACTACCACCATCAGACCACACACACACACACACACATACACACACAAGCAACCACCCCATCTTTTTAGTTAATTCCTTTCTTTAGAAATACCATCCGTCTGGCCCCTTCTCTTTAGCCCAGTTTGTCTTCAGGGGAGATTTTCTATTGACCTCCTATCTCTGAGCAAAAGAACAATCTGACATGATTTTTTTAGTCTCTTTATTGTACTCACTATCAACACTCACGGAAACAGCAGTCAAGAAATCAAATGATGTGTTGAATTAGGCAAATCTGCTGCACATGACCTTTTTAAAGCGTTGAAGAGCAAAGATGTCAGCTGGAGGACTAAGGTGCGCCTGACCCAAGCCATGGTGTTTTCTATAACCTTGTATGCATGCGAAAGCTGGGCAGTGAATAGGAAGACCGTAGAAGAATTGATGCCTTGATGCCTTTGAGTTATGATGTTGGAGGAGAATATTGAAAGTGCCATGAGCTGCCAAAAGAACCAATAGATCCGTTTTAGAAGAAGTGCTGCCAGAGTGCTCCTTGGAGGGAGGCCAAGATGGCCAAACTTTGTCTCTCATACTTTGGACATATTGTCAGGAGAGACCATTTGCTGGAGAAGGGTATCATGTTTGATAAAGTAGAGGGTCAGAGAAAAAGAGGAAGACCCCCAACGAGATGGATTGGCCAAGTGGCAGCATCGATGGACTCAAGCATGGCATCATCTCCTTCCAGGTTTCATAACAATCCTGTAAGAGAAGTGCTGCTGTTCTCCCCCTTAGACAGATGAGGAAACCGAGGCTTAGCAGAAGCTGGTTTATCTTGGTATCACTAGTGTCCCGGCACACAGTGAAGCTCAATACCTGTCTTCTGAGGAATGAGTAGATTAATGGTGGCTGTGTGCCACTGAGTCAGTACCTACTCATAGTGAGCCTGTGTGAGGGGCTCCAAGGCTGTAAATCTTTACGGGAGCAGAAAACCTCAACTTTCTCCCGCAGAGCAGCTGGTAGATTCAAAGATGAATGGATTAGAATAGTATACCTCTTTTGAAATTTAACACATACCACATACACCCCAACCAGAATAGTTAAAACAACATGTGGAGTAGATAGTTCCTAAGTGCTGATAACCCCAGTATGGTGTGTGTATAAGGACAATGGATTATTGTCCTGGAATGTCCCATCCAGGGACTCTTGTAAAAAAATAAGCCCAGCTCTCGGGTACCAATGGGAGGTTTTTAGCAGTTTGTTGTTGAACTGTTAGAGGGTATCAGTAAGGAGATGGAAAGAGACTAGAGACTACGTGATGTGCTTCAGTAGAAACACAATACATTTCGATTGGACACTAATGTGACTG